TTGGATAACATGCAAGTCTTACCAGAGATTGAATCAAGGGACTAATTTTTAAGATTCTCATATGTTCAGTTACTGCCCAAAAACCCCCCCCTAAAAAAACTTTTGTCTGTATATTTGTGTTTGTATGTGTATGTGTGTGCTACATAAGGACACCGTTTCTAAATTCTATTATGCAAACAATTTTGGTTTATGAAATCTAGAAAAAGAATTAGGGATAGACCTCTAACAGATAGTTTGAAATGCTGAGGGGGCGTTCTTCATTTCCTAAATGAAGGATATAAAACAAAACACAGGTGCTATGAGAGAAAAAAATCTTGGATAAGAAGCATACTTTATTTTTAAATATGTTTTTTTTCTGCAAATCAACAATTCTGCTGGCAATTTTGTAATTGACTCTAACTCAGCTAAATCAAGAGGAACTGAGAAAAATAAAATTTCAACAGCATGTTCCCCTCCCCCCCTCAAGCATTTCTTTCTTAGGCGATTTAAATAATCCCAATAAAAGCAGTGGTGTGTTGCCATATGCTACTACGCCCACAAGAACTATCTTTACATCTTCCTGGGAATTGCAGGGGTGGTTTTTGTCAACTATGCAGCATTTGTTCTTTTAAAAAACACTGCCAACTTGAAGATTCGGTCTCTGAGATTTCCAGTAAAATATTCATGACTGTCTAACCATCCAGAATCTTATGAGCACACAACCACAATTCTGGTGTACAAACCAGCCACACCAACTCCAGAGATCAGAAAGAAATAAACTGGGCATGTATATGCCATATGCCCGTAATTTGTCTAAATACTTGGGAATTTCCTGTTCTCTCTACTGGAGAACAAGAACACAGCTTTTCTCTTGTTAATTCAAGATGTTTAATTTCCGCACCACCTCTAATTGCCACAACAGAAATTAACTTAAAACACGCTGAATATAATATAGTTCTGAGGTTTTCGCGGGTGTGTGTATGTAGGTCTTTGGTTATTCGGGTTTTCTCTCACATCAATTGGAAGTGTCTTGGCGATGTTTTGACGAAGTCTCATCCGTCATCTTCAGGCTGGTGTTTTCGGCTTTGTACTTCTAGGATCACACATTTCATGATCACACACATTGCCCTAGAAGCACGAAGCCGAAAACACCAGCTGAAGATGACGAATGAGACTTCGTCGAAACGTCGCCAAGACACTTCCAATTTGACGTGGGAGAAAACCCGAACACCAAAGACTACATATATATATAGTGTAGGTCTTTGGTTGTTCGGATTTTATCCGTGTAAAATTGGAAGTGTCTTGGCGACGTTTCGACGAAGTCCATTCGTCATCTTCAGGCTGGTGTTTTCAGCTTCGTGCTTCGAGGAGCACGAAGCTGAAAACACCAGCCTGAAGATGACGAATGGGACTTCGTCGAAACATCACCAGACACTTCCAATTTTACGCGGGAGAAAACCCGAACCAAAGACCTCATCACAAACCCGCGAAAACCTCAGAAAAACACACACACACACACACACACACACATGATTCCATGTTTGCATCTCCTATTGTTAAGAGCCCCCAACAAATAGAGAAAGCTGCATTCCCCTCATCCTTAATTCCAGGTTTATCTGCTTATTACATTTCTATTGTCAGTCCTAAGACATCAAAGTTTCTTGCAATTTCCATGTGGTTGAGACTTAGGGCCAAAAAGAAGTACCAGACAGCAATTTTGCTGTTTTTTTTTTATCAGGAGGGGAAAGCAGCATTAGCAGCCCTGGCTACATGCTCCACACCTTTTGAATATGGCTTCAATTTCACCCCCACGTGGAAAAGGGACAGAGTTCACAAGGCACGAGTTTGCTTCATCTATCTGATCTTTGCTTGTTTCCTCTTGTGTGGTTGAGCAAGCAAAATAATAAACACCAGGAAATAATACTAGTGGCACATCACAAATAAACAACAGGAAATAAGACTAGTGCACAGCATCATAGCCAGGGTTGGCATGTGCTTCCCTGTCTTGGAACAACAGTTTTACAAGCAATCAATCTGCACATGTCAGAGTATAGTCTCCTTTTTTTAATATTGTAATGGAACAATATTAAAAACGGGGGGATCATATACACTATTCATCTTATTACTAGGACTCGTCAGAGTAGGCAAATCAGGAGATCCCTTGTAGAACTGCCAGTAGAAACAAAAGCTGGGTCACCTACTTTAGCCACGTACCAAATCTAGCCTGTGTGTAGATTTATACTTCCGCTAACCAGAAAGCACAAGATGATAGTAACGTTAGGGGAAACAGGTGAGAAAGGACTGGCTCCACAGTTGGATAGAAAGTACAGGGAGTCCTCGACTTACAACAGTTTCATTTAGTGCTGTTTCAAAGTTATCAACGGCACTGAAAAAAAGTGACTTGCGACCGTTTTCCATAGTTTATGACTGCTACAGCACCACATGGTCACGTTGATCAAAATTCAAAATGCTTGTCAACTGACTCATATTTTATGACCGGTGCAGTGTCCCGGGTCATGTGATCCCTTTTTTTGGCGACTTTTGTGACTTTCCGACAAGCAAAGTCACTGTGGGGAAGCCAGATTCACTTAACACTGTGTTACTGATTACCAACTGTGGTGATTCATTTAACAACTGTGGCAAGAAAGTCGCAAATGGGGCAAAATTCACTTAACAATGTCTCACTTAGTAGCAGAAATTTTGGGATCATTTGTGGTCGTAAATTGAGGACTACTGTAGTCCTCAGCGTACTGCTACAATTGGGATCAGAATTCCCGCTGCTAATCAAGTAATTTGCATCCAATTTTAGAGCATTTTTCCGATTGGTTTGTTAAGCAAATCACAACAGTTGTTCAGTGACACATGTGGTTGTTAAGTGAATCTAGCTTTCCCTTGACTCTTATTGGAAGCTGGCCTAGGAAGGCCAGAAGGTAATCAATTAGCCCAAAGTTAGGCAACCCTTGGCCCTTTTATGACTTGTGAACTTCAACTCCCAGAATTCCTGAGCCAGACATGCTGAGGGAAAGGGAGAGAGTTTTCCAAGTTGAGCTAGGCTGGCTCAGGAATTCTGGGAGTTGAAGTCCACCAGTCATAAAAGAGCCAAGGTTGCCTATCTCTAGCCTAGGCCTAGGTCGCTTTATGACTCATGGACTTCAACTCCCAGAATTCCTGAGCCAGCATGGTCAGCTTGGAAACCTCTCCCTTTCCCCTCAGCATGGCTGGCTCAGGAATTCTGGGAGTTGAAGTCCATGAGTCATAAAAGAGCCAAGGTTGCCTACCCCTGTGCTAGATTGTTCGTCAATGCTGGCTGTGGAATTCTGGGAGTTGAAGTCCACATGCCTTAAAATTGTCAAGGTTGAGAAACACTGTTGTAAAATAAAAAAAAAGGGAGGGCTCATTTATACTGGGAGGGAAGGAGAATACTTTATTTGGCAGTTTAGTTAGTTGGAGAAGAATCATTTTGTGATTACAGGCTTGTGATCCTCGATTTACAACAGCTCAGTTAGAGACCGTTCAAAGTTATAATGGCACTAAAGTGACTTATGATCATTTTTCACACTTACAGCCATATCAGCGTCCTCAGGGTCACGTGATCAAAATTCGGAGACTTGGCAACTGACTCATATTTATGACAGGTCGCAGCGTCCCGGGGTCATCTTTTGCAACCTTGTGGCACGCAAAGACTTAACATCTGTGTCGCTAAATTAGTGCAGTGATTCACTTAACAATCGTGGCAAGGAAAGATCATAAATGGGGCAAAATTCACTTAGAAATGTCTCCCTTAACAAAAGAAATTTTGGGCTGAATTGTGTTACTAATTTAGCAACTGCAGTGATTCACTTAACGGTGGCAAGAAAGGTTATAAAATGCGGCAAAACTCTTAACAAACGTTTCACTTAGCAGCAGAAATGTTGCGCTTTATTGTAGTCGTAAGTCAAGGAGTACCTGTAGAAATTTAATCTGAAGCTGAATGAATTGCTGTGCAAGCATTCTGAGTTACTAATAGTTGAGCTCAACACAGCCACTGTAAATGTTCTGAGTTCAAGCTCAGATCTTCCAAGAATTTCAATGTCAGAACCAAAGTCGTTTCAAATCTCAGTATTTATAATGTGTCTGCCATAGAAAATAAGCTTGAAATGAGTAGACCATCCTTAAAAGTGACTTGTTTTAAGTGATCTGTGCACAAAGCCAAATGGACATATTCCACGACTGAAAAGCTTTAAGTCACTTCGAGTTTTGTCCCAATAAAACACAACCAACTCAATCACTGCGCTGGAAAGAACTGAGCGAGGCAGTTTTGTTCTGACTTTTAAAACAAAATAAATGTTCTGTTTCATGCACAACCTGTTATTCAAAATGACAGAGAAGACTATTAACACGCGGACTGAACGTTTCTTAGTGTGGCAGACATATAGGTTGTTTCTGTGGAAAAAAAAAACTCCTTTCTATGCAAACATCCCATGACTTGGGAAAATGTCCTTATTGTCACCCCATTATTACTGCGGCCTTACATTAGAGGAAAACAATAACGATTTATCAATATTCTCAACTGATTCGTTTATATCAGGGGTAGGCAATCTTGGCTCTTTTATGACTCGTGGACTTCAACTCCCAGAATTCCTGAGCCAGCCATTCTGAGGAGAATGGGAGAGTTTCCAAGCTCAGCCATGCTGGCTCAGGAATTCTGGGAACTGAAGTCCACGAGTCATAAAAGAGCCAAGGTTGCCTACCCTGGTTTATATTATACAATATCCTGTACAATAGCCATTTAATGGATCTGCAGCTCCCAAACTGCAAATGGTGGGATGAGCAGATACAGCTGAAAGAATGTTTAAAATGGAAGTGGTTATTCCCAATTTGTATTTCTGTCCTTTAGTCAAATTTTTAAGTTCTTTGCATGCCTGGTTGACCAATTCCAGGAGAAATGGATTCCATTAAAGACAAAAAAAAAAAAAAAAAAAACATGCTTTCCTCATGCATCAGTGCTGAAAACATATACAGAACTAAGGCAGACTCCTTACTGTTCACAGCAACCCATTCATTTAAATCTTCGCCTTCCGGCAGCATAACAGCCATCCGTAAGTTGCCACTCCCAAGAGTTGCCTCTGCATGTTTCAGCAGCTCATATTGGTGGGAGCCTTCCGGAATGTTCTTCTTTGGTTTAAAAGTTTTAGAAGAGCGGCTACCACTGCAAAGGGAGAAGGATATTTTGGCTTCAGAGAATGCTGAGCACTAGAAGCAGAGGAATAATTTGACATTCGTTCTAGTCCAGGCCCTTTTATGACTTGTGGACTTCAACTCCCAGAATTCCTCAGCCAGCGTGCCTGGCGGAAGAATTCTGGGAGTTGAAGTCCACAAGTCAGGAAAGAGCCAAGTTTGAAGACCCCTGTTCTAGTCTCACACGTTCTTGGTTAAAAAAACATTCCCACCCCCCAAGCATTATAAAGAGTTACATGTGGATAAATAGGATTAATGTCCCCCCCCCCAGAGGTCAGCATTGTTGCATCCAACCTAGATGGCACCCACAACCCCCCCCAATTAAATAATAATAAAAAAACCTGATTAAAACAATTATCCGTAAGATTGTCAAATCCCCTCAAGATTTCAATGTTCTGAGATGGCAATATTTTGTTGCCTGGAAACACATGGCCTTAAATTACAACCACAACTGAGCCCAAAATGTTCGTTGCTAAGCAGGTTGTTAAGTGAGTATGGCCCCATTTTACCATCTTTTCATCACAGTTGTTCAGCAAATCTCTGCGGTTGTTAAGTGAACGGTGTTGTCACTAAGCGAATCTGGCTTCTCCTATTGACCTTGATTGCTGGAAGCCAAAATTTTGATCACCTGACTGTGGGAATGCTGCAATGATTGTAGGTCTGAAAACTGGACACTTTTTTTTTCAGTATTGTAATTTTGAATGGCCATTATACAAATGATTGTAAGCTGAGGACTACCACAGGACTACCATTGTAAGCTGAAGACTACTACCACCTATGCTTTAAAAAAACCCCAACTGTAGATCAAAACAGCATTATTAGAAGAGGAAAGCTTCTTATCCCCCTAAAAATGGGTACCTCCTTCTCAAATTATGTTTCCTAAAGCTTGAATGCTTTTAGAACAAAAATGAAGCACACACAAGAAGAAGATTGATAAGAATGACTGGAGACACTTGAGAAGAGAAAGCAACTGGGCACGTTGATAGAAGAGAAAGCAACTGGGCACTGGGCACGTTGAAACCCAGGAGAGAGTGCAGAGAAGAGGATCAAAAGTGATTAGGGGACTGAAGGCTAAAACATATGCTGAACAGTTGCAGGAATCGGGCATGTCTAGTTGAATGAAAAGAAGGACTAGGGGTGACATGATAGCAGTCTTCCAATATTTGAGGGGCTGCCACAAAGAAGAAGGGGGTCAAGCTATTCTCCTAAGCATATGAAGACAGGACAAGAAGCAATGGATGGAAACTAATCAAGGAGAGAAGTCACCTGAAATTAAGGAGAAATTTCCTAACAGTGAGGACAATTAACCAGTGGAATGGCTTCCCTTCAGAAGTTGTGGGTGCTCCATCACTGGAGGTTTTTGAGAAGAGACTGGACAGCCATTTGTCTGGAATGGTATAGGGTCTCCTGCTTGATCTTGAAGACCTCCAAGGTCCCTTCCAACTCTGTTATTGTGTTTAATTTTGAGAATAGTTATTAGAGTTGAGGAGCACAGTAGCACTATTTAAAGATATATATATGTATGTATGTATGTATGTATGTATGTATGTATAATTTATTTATTTATTTCATTTCATTTCCACACCTTTCTTGCTGCTAGGAAAATCTAGAGTGATTTACAGAACATTTTTTACAATAGGCTTTAAGTATGAAACAATAAAATCAATAAGGCTTCAGAACCAATTTAAAAAAGGTAAGGGTTTATTTAAAAGGGAGGAAAAAAAGGCACTGTAATAGGCATTCTGAGATATAATCTTATTCTGAACAAGGGCTTACCCCATAAATGCTGGGTTAACAGGCTTATCCAAATCATTTCTGAAAGAAAACAACTATAGGCAGGTTTAACTTCCTATGATTCTAGATAGGAGATGTATTTTAGGTTATCTGTCCAATATATGGAGACTATATGTTTCTAGACCAGTGGTTCTCAACCTGTGGGTCGTGACCCCATTTGGGGTCGAACGACCATTTCACGGGGGTCGCCAAACAACGCAGTCCGCCATTTTTTTTCCCTTTTTCCTTAGCTGTGCTACTCCCTTTTATTCTATTGGCTTTTGAAAGCCAATAGAATAGACTCTCTTGAATAGAGTCTAATTCTATTGGCTTTCAAAAGCCAATAGGAATTGTCCAGGCTGTCTCTGCCCTGCTGAGCCCGCCAAAAGTCCTATTCTGCAAACGGTGCTGCACCAGTTGAGTAATCCTCGACTTACGACCGGTTGAGTAGTCCTTGACTTATGACCGGTTGGGGGTCGCAGCATTAAAAAGGTTGAGAACCACTGTTCTAGACCTTTGCTTTTCTGTTGAAAGCAAGTAAGAAATGCAGATTTATTTCAGCTGGAGTATCTTATTTTTAGTTTTTAACAGAAGCCAAATCTTCAAGAAAGTGTCAGTTTTATTCTCATTCCCAGCGAAATGACAAATGCAGGGTCCTTCAACATTTTTTGAAGGTCTGAAATGTTTGTTAAAGCAATGTTGTCTACTTCCTCTTTTACCATACGGATAACAGGAACTTGTACCTCCCCACTGCTTACTCTCCCCTTCCTAGATTACATATTCAAAGCCATACTTCCACTTTTGGGCTGACACTTTAAAGCAAGTTATGAGGAAAACACATTTTTCAGCACAAAGTTTGTGCATATATTTAGCGGCTTATGGCACATTCCAGTCTATTCGGCTTCCAGACATAAAATAGGTAAAAAATGCATTCAGAATTTCATTTAAATCCCAGTTATGAAAATTCACATGTCTGTGGTCATGTATTTTTTCTTATTACTTCATCACTCATATACAGGTAAAGACAGAAAACTTCCTCTGATGAGCAGGCAGGTTCACTTCAAAAAAAAAATTACATGCAATCCAACAAAAAGTAAGACATAACGGAACTATTATATAAGTAATAGTGTGGCCTCCAAAACTAAAAAAAGCAACATTAAGCTTTTATAGCAAGGTGACTATAAAATATTGTTACTTGTTTTGAACAAAAAGTAATTTATCACTAAAGAATGAAAATATGTCTGAAATTCTACATTGCTGTACCTTTAAGGCCTACTGAATTCAGCCTTCATCTAAGCAATATCCAGATATGCTGACCTCAACTCCCAGAATTAATGCTGAGATATCTGGAGACTAAAATCGAAACATCTGGAGAACATCCAAGATAAGGAAAGGGAGTTGAGTAAGTAGTAATTATTTCATCTATGGCTGCAAACCTCTCTTTAAAAAAAATCAAGGAGAAACAAGATAAAATACAATCTTACTTAGACAACTTGGGAAAACAGTCCATAAACTGGTTCATAGTGAATCTGTCAAATCCCTTTTTAAAATTCTCTAAGCTGCTGACTATTACAGCAGTGAATTATGTGAATTGGTAAACATTATAAAAAATATGCTATTTGTCTGCCGGTCACCTTTTAATTAAACCTTTTAATTAATCCAGGGAGAAAAATAGCTGACCATATACTTTCTCAGTGTCATCCATAAATTTTATAACAACCTCATTACTTATTATGCCATATTTACCCTAAAAATATTAGGTTTCCCTCAAATAATTTATTTTTTAAAAACTGTCATTTTTATATACTTCTATTACTTTTATAAATAACTCAATATTCCCTGACTGAGCCAAAATTACACCCCTGAAAGGAAAAAAAAAAACCCCACACAAAATCCATTTAGAAAGGGTAGGAACTAAAAGAGTGTCCATAAAGTTGGTAAATGAGATCTCACGAGTGTACAATATATTGGTATGTGATTGCAAAGGCTAAAACAACACTGAAGGGATCAAATGCCTCTGAAATAATTGTTGGATGTAATAACAAAACATCCATGCTTCCTTACAAACTTAATGAAAAGGTTTTGTTTTGAAACGGAGGGATGTTTCTCCCACACCCATGGAAAGAACATCTAAGAGCAGAATTTAAGAAAATCCAGAGGTATTACTGATTTTTCTCTCAGCCGTTCCATGTAATACACGAGGTCTTAAAATTTCAATCCAAAGACTAGCTTTATGCAAGGGATCACACATTATGTAAGGCATACAGGGAAAATGACTGGATAAAGAGAGCTTGATCAGATCAACCCAAAAGGCAAAACCGGAGTTTAAGAAACACTATATGCAACCAAAAAAATCAAAGATGATGCTTGGATTGGAAGCCAAGAATTGCAAAGAGTACCAAAATAAGAAAACACAAGGTTGGCCCATTACAGGTAGCCCTCCACTTAACAACTATTCATTTATGACTATTGAAAGTTACAGTGGCAGCGAAAAAAAGCTTTTTTTTTTCCTCCTAAAGTTGGAAGGGACCTTGGAGGCCATCTAGTCCAACCCCCCTGCTCAGGCAGGAAACCCTGTACCATTTCAGACAAATGGCTGTCCAGTCTCTTCTTAAAAACTTTTAGTGTTGGAGCATTCACAGCTTCTGCAGGCAGGTTGTTCCACTGGTTAATTGTTCTGTCAGGAAGTTTCTCCTTAGTTCCAGCTTGCTTCTCTCCTTGATTAGTTTCCATCCATTGCTTCTTGTCCTGCCTTCAGGGGCTTTGGAGAATAGCCTGACTCCCTCTTCTTTGGGGCAGCCCCTGAGATATTGGAATATTGCTATCATGTCACTCTTAGTCCTTCTTTTCATTAAACTTAGGACCATTCCTTATACGTATCACCATGGCAGCAGCCGCATAGATATGTGATGATAAATTTGAATGCTTGGCAACTGGCGTGTACTTATGACAGTTGGAAGCGTTCTGGGGGTCATGTGGTCGCCATTTGCAACCTTCCCAGCTGGCTTCCAACAAGCAAAGTCAATGGGGGAAGTCAGATGAACTTAACAACCACGGGGGGAAAAAAAGGTCATAAAATCAGGCGTAACTCACTTAACAATCACCCTACCTTGCAACGGAAATTCCAACTGATTCCAATTGTGGTCATATGTTGAGGACTACCTATACCAGTGGTGGCGAACCTATGGCACGGGTGCC